GTATTAGCCAACTTAAGAATTCCGTTTTTACAATTCTAAAAACTGCTAGCAATACCTGGAATCCACATTCTTGATGCTGTTCTCGACATGCGCCATTAGTTGCAAGGCAATTTTCTTGCACTGGGTGATTTCACAAAACACCGATGCACAACGTACTGCTACACCACTGTTCTTTCTGTTTTTCCTGATACATTCCTTCCATAAAGGAGCAAATTTCTAAAAAAAAAAAATAATTACGCACACATAAAACTGAGACAGTTAGGAAAACACTACTTGTCGAAAATGAAGAAAATTTTACAAAAATCTCGGAGTGAGTTGTGCACCACATAAATATATTTGTGAAAAATTTATAAAATTTGGGAAAAAATCCCTGAGAATTGAGAAAACATTGATGCCACTGGGAAAAAAGATACGGTTAGAGAAAAAAAGAAACTTAAAAAGGGGCGGGGGAGAGGGGGGAATGGCGCAGCAAAACATGCGCAGCATGATGGCTAACCTTTTCAGTGGTAGTTTCATCCCAACTTGATGCCAGTTCTTTTCCGGATGTGCGGAGCAATGCAACAATCGCTCCCAACAATTTTTCTTTAACCTCCCAAATTCGGCTTTGCAGTGCACTTGTCAGTGTATCATACAACATTTCTGAAAGGATTTTAAAACGAAAAAAGTCAGAAAATTCCTTTAAAATCAATTCCCCACGAAAACTGGCGGCAATCAGAACCATTATGACGGACAGTACCTCGTCGACCGTGTTCGTAAATTTTTTTATTGAGGCTTTCTTTTTTGAGGTCTTTTTTTTAGCGGGAAAAAACTGAGATGGTTTTAAAATTTTGCAAAACTCAATTACATTCTACTGTATTTCTTTGTATAAAGCCCGTCTATGCCGGGGCGGATGAGGAAAGGACGCACATTTACAAATGTTTGAAGATTCTGAAAAACGCACCAGCATCGTGTAAATTGGGAGAATCTGTTGGTTCGTTGGCAATCGTTGCAAGTACTGTTGCTGCTTGTGCTTTCACTGCCCAAACGGAACTTTCATTTAACGTAGCCACGGCCACCTTGATTATTTCTTGACGATACATGCGTATCGCCGAACTTGTGTCTGAAACAGCACTCAAGCAGTGGGCTGAGGTGGAAATTTCCAGATAAAAAATATGTCCAAATGATATCAAAAAAGAAAAAATTGCTGTGAAGGTGCTAACTTTCATCTGAATTTCAATCTAACTGCATTTGAATTGGTGGAAAGGATCAGGAATAAGATAAGGAAGATGGTGAAAAGAATATTAACAATCAGGCTGTTGCGATAATCGTTCAATGGGAAGAATAGGCTATACGCGAGGATAAGGGCGGAAGGAAGGGAGAAGGAATACGGCACTTAACTCTTTCGTTAATCGAACAAATTTTCACGGCTGCAGCTAAAAAGCAGATCAAGAGATACTGGGAAGGCCACTAAACGGGGAAAAAGGGAACCATTGGAAGGCCATACGCAGTTATGTGACGATAATGCAAAAAAAAAAAAAAAA